ATAAATATGTACTTCCATTATCTCTACATCCCATTATACAATTCACAAGGTCAACACGACATAAATGACCCCACTTGTTGCACTTTCACACTGTTACCTGTCTCCATTTCAGGGTCAGTGACCCCTCTCATATGTAAGTATAAGCTGGTCTAAAAAAGACCAGAGTATCATAAGAGGATTTTTCAGGGATCACTGTATCACTGCACCTGCATTGTGATCTGTTCACACTCTAATCTTTTCTTCTCTTTCCTCGAACCAGGAGATTATGACAAATTCATCTTTCCGCTAATTTTCATTCCTCATCGGTGATACATTCACATGCTGTCAAAGTTATTTTCCATTATAAATCACACAGCAAAAGAAAAATCTACCTACGTTAAGAGACCGTGGTGGTCATTCATCTCTATAATAATCTTTTCTGACAGTGGTATGTAACTGGGAGACGTCCGGGTGGATTCACATGTTTGTACAGGTGGTATCCAGGGTGGCTGTCCTGGTTCCTCTGCCTGACAACGACCGTGTGTCAATCCAGCTAGAAGTCGCCCAGTCCAGCTCACAAAACAAGCTGGCAGCACTCCACGTCATGTCCTACTAATCTCATTCAGCAGCAAAGTGATATGTACAAGTTTTTATACACACACAAAAAAGTGCAAAGTAGCATTGTTCATACAAGAGTCACATGTTTCTGTTTGTGGAGTATTTTCTCTTTGCAGTTTCAGGAATTAAATGCGACCGGACAGATTGATAATAATACCTCATTGGGTTTTCTGGTATTTTGTCACACAGACAAAGAACAGGGACTTTCACAAACTCCAGAACTCACACGGTCAACACCAGAATCAAGAATCCAGTCAGAGATATCAAATGCCTTGATTCTCTGATTTGAAGCTGCTTCTGAAGTGATATCTCTCCCTCTTTGATTCTGTCATCTACAATCTCCCCAAAGGAATCCAAACAGAGCAGACAGGTCCTGGAGCGGAAGCTCTTTGTTGCATCACGGAAACTTCCAGAAATACCAGAAGAAAAGTAACAGTGATTAAAAGACTTCGGAGGAGAGTTCTCGAAGCTCAGCTTGGCTGCATTTATCAAAGTGTCTTTAAAGACCACTGATGTAATTGAGGGCCAGTTTCAGCCTGAATGCTCCCATGATAAGGCACGGGACGCTGCATAGGGGACAGACTGTGGTTCAAGCAAAACATCAACCCAGTTCAGCTGAAACACCAAAAGCTGCCTTTTCTGTTTCACTGCATGTTACATCAAACTTCACTATGCTTACAAGGAGAGGTAGTTTTCAACAGGGATTTTGTTTTACTCGTAACTGCAGTGGCAAACCCTTAAGGCAATAACCTCTTCATCTCAAACAACAAAATTATAATAAAGCAAAAACAAGGATGACGTTCAACTTGAACCACACATGAGACGTTATCAGGAAAGATGCAAAGAGAAAACCGAAAGAGAAACATGGAACTTGGTTTTATCAGTTTCCGCAATTTTTTCTTCTTCCCGTGTTGCTTTTAAAGGAATAGTTTGACATTTTGCGAAATAATGTGACGCTATAGTTTACACCCAGCAGCCAGTTATTGTAGCTTAGCCGACACCACCTATTGGGACATCTTGTTTCATGGTGTAGACATGACAATTCACTCTTTTACGAGACCTAGCATGACCATGAAGCCTTCTGGTCTCTCTGCTGGTTACCTGGGAGCCGCTCAGAGCCAAGAAAGCTCCCATTAGTATAGTATAAGATCATTTCACAGAAGGTCAAACCTTTTCTTTCTGTGTGTGTGTGTGTGTGTGTGTGTGTGTGTGTGTGTGTGTGTGTGCGTCCCCCATCTTCAATCCATCTCATCTGAACAGGTGACTCGCCGGCTTGTAGTGCAGAGTGAGTTGGCGGGAGCTGTAGCCGGACATGCCGACGCCCATGAGCCCGAGCAGGAACGCCATGCGCGGCATTGCAGGGCCCTCGCGGCTCTGCAGCACGGTCTGGGCTGCCTGAGTCTGAAAGAGACAGCAGGGGTCACCACCACGACTACCACAACCAGGCCTGATCATCACCAGGGCCGATGATGACCAAGGCATGGGGTCAGCAATGTCCCTCCTTGCTCTGGCTGCAGTGGAGTCCTTAAAAAGTTGACCATGGTCACATGCTTGTCTCATACCAGCAATGGTCTTAGCATAGGGGAAGAGTCGCATTAGAAACTCCATTTTTATCAAGTTTCAAAACTCATACGGTCCTCTGCAGGTTTGAAGATGTCTTGGTCAATCCGAGACATGTCCTAAGATCAGATAAATACAGTCATTCTCTGAGCCTATCACTGTTTAAACCCATTAAAACACAGGCCTCATTATTATCAGGATTTATTTGAGTCATTTGTCTTATCGTGACCTATTTTGTCTCATGATGAGAATTATCAAGCATGAACCTTGATGATGAGGTTTCATACTGTAAACATTGTGCACTGCAGCATCCAGCTGCAGGCCTTTGAAATACCCAGCAGACTGCTTGGTTTAGAACATGTCATGCTATTTCTCAGGAGATCCAATTAGAGGGTATGTACCTGACCCAGGGGAGCTAAGGCATCTCTGATTCAAATCCATTCAAAGACAGGCTGCTGTAATCCTCTAAATCCCAGCATGCAAACACAAGTCGGTGGTGTTGGTTTAAAATGAAGCTTTGAAAGCTGCAAAGTGATCATATAAGACAAATCAAATTAATTTTTATAATATGTTGGTGCTCTCTTCTGTTCTGCATTAAGAGAAATCTTGAGCTTTAGAAATCTACACACTCCACACCAGTTGTTTTTTTTCTGAAGTTCAGAGATACATGCAGGGCCTGAACTCAAGATCTGAACAAGTCTTTGTTAGAGTTTCTTAAGGAATTTGCTCAACTGCTGTGCCACTCCAGATTTCCCTTCATGTCCAGGACTAATCATTAATCTGTCTAAAGAAGAAAATCACCCTTAAGTATCTTACGCACCTGGAGGTATCTAATATATCCAGGGGTCAGTCGAGGGATGCGAAAAAACATGGTTGTCGTTCTTTCCGGTGCTTCACAGCTGAGACCACAAAAAACACCTTCTGCAACCAGGGCTCGGGACGTTCTGCTGGACAAGTTTATCTCTGGGATTCCCTTTGCCCCTGCTGGGTTTCTTCAGCCTGGATCCTCTCCACCGGGCAGAGTGCGGCAGCAGCAACAGCTCTCCCCTGTGTCCGAGGACACACTCCCCACTCCCTCAGTCAGACAACCTGACACACACCTCCACTGTGATGATCTCCCCTGAGGGAGTCCAGTCCCTACAGGTGGTATATAAAGCCTTGGCTCTATTGCGTAAGCAGGTCACATGGTGTTGGACTGTGTTTGTGTCTTTGTGTCTTTGTGTGTCAGTGGGGGATTAACATCCACTTTGGTGGATTAATATACCTGTGAGAAGATGTTCCAAACCCATTGGCCAAGAGAGGAAACACAACGACAAAGAGGCGCTGTAATGGCATCTGCAGGCGTCACAGAGGGACGGTTTATCAACTAGGAACAATTAGGTAAAGGTTAAACGCATTGTGACACAAAGGATTCATTTTCAGGTGTCTACAGTTAAAACAGACACAATAACATTATTCCTTCTATATGAACCTGACGTTAACAATATTTCAATCAATCCATGTCTGTAATAAACTTAAAATAAGGTTCAATTCACCATTTTTGAGCAATATTCTGAGATCTTGTCAAAGAGTGTCTGACAGGAAGCAGAGCTCGGCTGCTTCCTCAGGTCATCTCTCTGGGTTGTCACGAAAACGGAGCTTCTGCTTAAAAGGATTTCACCGACTCATCGCTGAAGTCATGCAATGCACTGAAGGACTTCAAGCTGTATGAGAACAGTGAACACTGTATGAGTGACAGTTTGACCATCTATTGCACATTGCTCAGCACTCACATTTAGAATACACAAAGGAAATTGAAATTAACTTGTGGGGTTCAAATGGTTTTAATTCAATGAGCAGATAGTCGGACATCACAAAGGTCATGCTGACTTGTTCCTGGGAGCTTTTTTCTCTCACAGGAGAGTGTGAAGGCCTGTTTTCCTCAGTCATTGTAAAGTTCTTGTCATTGGGAAAACAGCCTACTAATTGTTTTGATGAAGGGATCAGGATCCCTCAACTGCCATGCCAAGAACGGATTAGCCAAATCTGACCCGCATGCAAGACTCGTTAAAGGTCAATCTAATCACCTAGTCACCAAACAATTCATTTAAAGTTCTGTGTGAATTAGTCTCAGCTTATGTTATTTTTAAGTACAAGAAAATAAAGGTCCCTTGAAATTCCCATTAAAAACAAAGATTTTAAATATAGATACACATCCAAATTTCTTGGGACCATAGACAGCAAATAAAGATGGACAACATGACAACTGCCCAAAAGTAAGGCCAAAGCCTCTTGATCGCCCTCAGGTGGCTGGCTGCAGTATAGGTCATAAAGCTTGAAGTTAATGGATGGGATATGGACTAAACTCAAAAGTCAAGGTTTGTGGTATGAAGTGGGGGAGCAGCATCTATATTAATATACAGTCTGTGGACTGTCAGAGCAGAAAATTATACAAAGATTTTAGCATAAAATTTTTGTGGAACAAGATAATTCTGTTTATGAGGACACAACTACAGGAACAGGGGTCCCTACCCACAAATATGTCAGACTTTCCCAAAGTCACTTATTAATACCTATAAATCATTTCAGTAAAAGATAAGACATGTTTTTACTGATCACTTTCCTCTTTATTTCTACAACAACTTAAATGCTTCTGCATTGAAATATAGATTCATCCATGTAGGGATACTACTACTTATAATATACATAATAACAATAATGATAATTTGGTAATATAACACCAGTACCTTCATTAATTATTTTAATTATTACATGTTATTACCTATGGTTATTACATGTCTTTATTTGTTGTTATTGTTTTTATACAGGCACCTCTGTAGACAGACTTTGTATATAGAGCGTCATCACTGTGCGTCATCAGCAGCAGAAGAAGGCCCCCTGACAGCTCTAAAAACAGAACGCGGGTTCATCTTTAAGCAAAGTTTCCTAGTGAGTAAAACTCAAAGAGGAAAATGTGGACGCGGACCCGGAGCTCACGTTGCGTCGGTGCTGATGCAGAAGAGTGAAGTTTTCCCCCCGAGCAGCTCAACACGGGCTGGCTAACGCAGAAAGCTAACGGCTAATGCTAAAGCTGCGCACTTTCGTTTCACAGAAAACTCCCACATCGTCTCGGACCCGCCAGGACTCCGCTTCAGCCGAGCTTCACCACTTCTGACTTATGGTGGACGGTGGCTGACCGAGCCGAGAGGTAACCGCTCGTATTTGCTCAGAATCGGACATAATTTTTGAGATTTTAACGATTCAAGTGTCAAGTTGTGGAGAAGTCCCTGAATCCCTGTGACGCTCAAACCAGCCGTAATAAATATATGGTCAATGCACGAAAGGCGCCGACCGGGTCTGTTTATTTGCATGTGTGGGACATTTCTCATGGTTCTGGTTTAAATCATGACATAGAATAAAAACCTCACATCTGAAAAAACATCACCTGGACGTTGTTTACCTGCTAATCTATAATCTTCCTTATATTTCCATTGTAGAGAAAAGAACATTTTTACTGCAAAACTGTGTTGGAGCAAATATTTCCGACTTATTATCTGTGTCAAGTGTGGAGGTCACTGTTAAAAGGAGCATGGTGATTATCGTTAATTGTATCTGTCCTCTGTCTTTGTCATATATTAAATATTAATACTTTAGAGATTTTTCGAGCTGGTGTGCCGGACAGCTATTATTCTCAAAGTTATAAAATAAATCATTTTGTGGAACCGCTGCCTAAAAAAGTTTGCAAACTTTAATGCCAGCATAAAATGCGGGAAAACACAAGTCACAAGTGGCTGCCTCTCTCCTACAATGCATGCATCACCAAACTTGCAGTTTTGTTTACCCTATTTTTACGTTGTTTCCTTTTCTGTCGTTGTCCTCTCTTCTCAGTTTCAGCCACAATGAAGAGAAGAGCCGAAGCACCGCCAGCCCCTCAGAAGGGGACAAAGTTGTGTCGTGAAGACAGCAGTTCGGACGAGGAGTCACAATTATCCAGACAAGGTAGATTTGTACTATTGAAAGTTATTTGCTGGGCCTGCGCACATTTCAACAAAAACTTTGGGTCTTGTTGAACTTTTGACTGCAGTGATTATGAGGATCTCTGTGATAAAGTCTGTGGTTTTGTTCTGTCTAGACTCCAGTCAGAATGACTCCCTCAGTGACCAGGAGGATCACAGACCAGGGTTCTCCATGCCCTCCATATCATCCTTTGATGAACAAGACACAGACGCCCCCTCAGACAACTCCTCCAAGTTCTCTATGTACAACAGTGTGTCACAGAAGCTCATGGTAATGTGTTAATTACGTCTCTGACACAGTCCCAAAGTTTGTTTTGTAGAATTTTGGATTGCAAAATGTTTGTTTCATGTTTCATAGTATTAATAAGAAACATGGAATCATTTTACAGTTTTTTTTTCTAACTCCCTTTCTGTTACTGCTCACTCCTCAGGCCAAGATGGGTTTCCGTGTGGGCGAGGGTCTAGGGAAATTTGGTCAGGGACGCAAGGAGATCGTGGAGGCTTCGACTCAGCGAGGAAGAAGGGGTCTGGGCCTCACGCTGCAGGGCTTTCAGGGGGAGCTCAATGTCGACTGGCGCGATGAACCAGAGGTACACAGCAAATAAATTATTTTAGTAATTTTAGATTTGAAATACCAAGTGGGATTCAAGCAACCATCAGTGGTACCAATGACATGATCTCTGTCTGTCCAGCCCAATGCCGTAGAGAAGGTAGATTGGTTCCCAGAATGCACCACAGAAACCCCAGATGCAGATGAACTGAGGGACTGGATGATTCTGGGACAGGTAAACAAGATACACGGACACTGACTCAGATATAAATGTGATAAGTATACAATGCTTATTTTTTCACATATTTATTGTTTCTGAACTTTTGTTTTCGATCACTTACAGAGAAAACTTAAGATCGAGGATGAGACAGAGTTTTGCACCGAAGATCTTCTGCACACTCTTCTCAGGTGCAAGGTGAGTGATCATAGAAATCACCAACTGTTCACATCTGTTTGATTTCAATCTGCTTTTTTATTCCTGGTTGTGTAACCGCTGTGTCTGTCTGATGTTCAGACGGTGTTTGATGACCTGGAGGGCGAGGAGATGAGGAGAGCTCGGACACGCTCCAACCCTTACGAAACGATCAGAGGAGGGATCTTCCTCAACAGGTCGGTCTTTAGGTGGTTTCCACAAGTTGGACAAGTGAACGTAGCGTGGTTAATATCATGTAAGTCATTCAAGTTATTGAGAGTTTTGGAGTTCAGCCTGTTACCAATTCACGGTCTGATGTGAAATGATCTAAAAATAAAATGAGATTGTGTCACAATGGAAATAACTAATGCGCTGTATGATTAATTCCTGTAGTGACAAAAGAACGAGATCTTGAAATACAAGCTACGTCCTGAACTATAGCAGACTTTTGTAGATTGTATTAATTCAAGAGTCCTTTAAATGCAATTCCAAATTGTTTGATATGCTTTCTGTTTTTAGAGCAGCTATGAAAATGGCCAACCTCGACTACTGCTTCGACCATATGTTCACCAACCCAAAGGATTCAAAAGGGGTGAGTGGGTCAAAGTGACTGTTGATGTTAGATGTGTTGAACAAGGCAACACAAAGAGATGGTGAGACTTTGTCTCTGCCTACTTTCATTATGTAGACACCTCTAACAAAGGACCGCGAGGGGGAGCTCCTGTACTTCGGCGACGTTTGCGCGGGGCCTGGAGGCTTCTCAGAGTACATCCTGTGGAGGAGACGCTGGCACGCCAAAGGCTTCGGCATGACACTGAAAGGACCTTGTGACTTCAAACTGGAAGATTTCTTTGCTGCGCCGAGCGAGCTGTTTGAGCCCTACTACGGTACGTTAAGAAAACCTGCACGTCGCTGCCAGGAGATGTCTGATGAATGATTCAGTGGAAGCTTGACCTCTGTGTATCCCAGGTGAGGGAGGAGTGGACGGAGACGGGGACATCACTCGGCCAGAAAACGTGACGGCCTTTAGAAACTTTGTGTTGGAGAGCACAGAGAGAAGAGGGCTGCACTTCCTCATGGCAGACGGGGTGAGTCTATTGTGCACATTGATTATTTTACTGTAAGGTGACGGTGCAGAGTCTTGCTGTTCGGAGAATGAATTGAAATTTCTGTTTGGAGATTAATTCACTTTTATTTGAATGATTTTGTCTGTGGTAGGGATTCTCTGTGGAAGGTCAGGAAAACATTCAGGAGATCCTGAGCAAACAGCTGCTGCTCTGTCAGTCCCTCACTGCCCTCTCTACACTCAGGACAGGTACTGAAACTCTGGTCAGGTGGACACGCTCTGATGTTTATCAAGGAAAATCAAGTCAAATATTATATTCAGTCACGATATACCATCCTTATATTCATGTTATGTACTCATCCTCTGTATTATTTACTGTGTACCCAGATTAAATTCCCCGGCTCTGTCTGTCCTCTGCAGGTGGCCACTTTGTTTGTAAGACCTTTGACCTATTCACTCCCTTCAGCGTGGGTCTGGTCTACCTGATGTACCTCTGCTTCGACAGGATCTCTCTCTTCAAACCTATCACCAGCAGACCTGCCAACTCCGAGAGGTCTGTCTGTCTTTGTGTGAACCTTATGTACAGAGAGATCTGTGGAATTGATTACTGAAGCAGTGCAGGTTGGATATTATTACATTTGTTGCTTGTTCTCTGACTCAGACATTTGTTCCCAGCATCTAAGATGCTTAACATTAAATCAGCAGAGACGCCCCAAATTTTGGACAACTTTTTAGACTAATGAATATCTGATCATAATAGTACTATTTCTTGTTATCACTACCTCCTCAAATCTGCTCCTACTCTTAACCACCCTCAGGTACATCGTGTGTCGTGGTCTGAAGCCCGGCTCAGACGCCGTCAGGGAATACATGTTCAGAGTCAACCTGAAACTGAACCAGCTGAGGAACTCGGATAGAGATGTAACAGATTTGGTTCCGCTGAGCATCATCAAGGAAGACACGGATTTCTATCAGTTTATGGTCAACTCCAATGAGAGGTGAGGATCCACAGCACTCAGACAGGATTTAAGGTTTTCATCTTAAAACTGAAAGACTGACAGGAAGTGAACTATCTCTCCCCCGCAGGCTCTGTGTAGTCCAGATCAAGGCCTTGGCAAAAATCCACGCTTTCGTCGTAGACTCGTGAGCAACCATCTCGTTTTCTCTACTCCAGCTTAGTGTTATGTGTGGGGTGGAATTTGTGTGTGGAACTAACTGTGACACTTTTGACGTCTGTAGGGATCTTTCAGAGACGAGGCAGGCCGACATCAGGAAAGAGTGTCTGAAGCTGTGGGGGGTGAGTCGAGATGTTCTACATTAAACCTTGACAACGGATCTATTATAATTCATAGAGGTTTTGTTTAGAAATGTTCTTTCAGATAGTCATTCAAGTTTTAAATACTTTTTTGTCTTTTTCCAGGTACCAGACAAGGCCAGGGTCACTCCTGCTCCCTCAGACCCAAAGTCAAAATTCTATGAACTGATCAAGGTCAGTTAATAAATCACAGTTTTTGTGTGTTTTGAAATGTTAATAATGAAAGAAAAACGTAACCTAACTAAAAGTAAGCAATAATAGAAAATCCTGTTTGTTTATTTTAATAAATTCTGATAAATTGACATGCTGTGATTAGTGGTGCTAATAAAAAATGTTTCTCAGTTTCTGCTCCTCATCTTTAATCCTACTTGTGTTTGTTGCACCTCAGAATTTAAATGTGGAGTCGTTCCAGTGCAAGCTCACTCCTCTCAACTCCACCACCCTCGATAAAATGCGTCATATACTGGACCACAAGTGCATTGTGGGAGGTGGAGAGCAGATCTTTCTTCTCGCACTCGGGGTGAGTCTTAAGAAATAACATAGGTCTTGAACTTGTGTTTTGTCTCACTGCAGTGAAGTAGTAGAAATGATTTGTGTTTGTCATCATTAGTCTGGATGACAGGACGCTATCAGTACATCGTTACAAGCAGTTATCGAAGTGTAACCATTTTATCTGTAAACTTGTTTGAATATGTACTGGAAGAGATTAAAACAAAGAGCTGACCGGCAGTTTCTATGCTCAGTGAATCGGTTTTCATCTTCTCGTTTGTTCTCTCTGTTTCCTCTTTACATGTGTAGAAGTCTCAGATTTACACGTGGGACGGGAAGATGCCTGTTCGCTGGAGGAAACTGGAAAACTTTAAGCTTGAGCTGCCAAGAGATTCTCTTCTGAGCGTAGAGATCGTCCAAGAGCTGAAGGGCGAGGTGAGAGTTTAGGGGCTGAGCAGATGAAATACGGGAGTCAGTATATCACCCTCTTTATATTTGTCATTGCTTGAATTATGACCTGCATTGCTTTTAAAAGATGTTGTAGGAGGGGGCGTCAGGTTGTATATTGCTTTGACCATTTCCTACAACAGCAGGGATCATTCATCATTCAAGAGTTTTTTCTCCATAACATGATTTAGAGATTCAGAGCTGAACATTTTTATTTTATAGTCACATCTGACTCACTGTTTATGGAGCTGGTAAACACACATGTATATGTGGCCTATAGGGAAAAGCTCAGCGGAGAATCAATGCAGTTCATGTAATGGATGCACTAATACTCAACGGCACTGACGTAAGAGACCAGCACTTCAACCAAAGGTAGGACAGCGCCACCCGTACGTTGTATCTTTCTCGTTTCATGTGTGATCTCTTAATAATCCACTCTACTCGCCGTCCATGTTGTAGCTGCGTTTCTGTTAATACTGACGTATTGTAGTTTACTATCGTTTACTCACTAAGGAATGTTGTATATCCAGAATCCGGATGGCTGAGAAGTTTGTGAAGGCGGTGGCCAAACCAAGCCGACCAGACATGAACCCTATCAGGTTTTAATTTAAACTTTGACCATAAATGTAAACAAACACTCATATAGTATCACTGGTATATTAAAAAGACATTGTGGCATTAAATTGTCATGCTCTTTAAATGTAACCTCTGTCTTCTACCAGAGTGAAGGAAGTGTACAGGTTGGAGGAAATGGAGAAAATCTTTGTCAGGTAAGAAAACAGGTCACATAAGAAAACAACAAACAAAGGTACACTTGTTGTTTCTCTACAATACAAAAATCAAATCTGTCATTTTCTGTTCTTTTTTCCTCACGCAGACTAGAAATGAAAGTCACAAAGAGTTCAGGAGGAATCCCTCGTCTGTCCTACACCGGCAGGGACGACCGGCACTTCCTTCCCACTGGCCTCTACATCATCAAGACTATCAGTGGTGTGTGTATATCTATATATATATATGTGTGTGTCTGTGCTGCTCAGTGTCTGACATTTTGTTTCAACCATGTCAAAGCCTCAACAAACCCATGGTTGAAATCCTTGAGTGACCATGTGTGGAGTCATGGATTTGTGGTCTACTAATCTCTCTGCCTCGCCTCCCTCTCCATCTTTTAGAGCCCTGGACCATCGCGTACAGTAAGAATTCCAAGATGAAGTTCTTCTATAATAAGATAACCAAGGAGTCCACCTATGTAATGCCACCAAACTGTGCTGCTCCCTTCCAGTGAGTACTGACCTCTGAATTCATATTCAAACTTTGCCTTCTCATGTTTTCGGGTTGTCCGTACATCCTGTACAATATGTCAACAACAGCCTGAGGGGATTTCCTCAAATTTGGTACAAAGTTCAGTTGAACTCAGGGATGATTCTGATAAGAATGTTGATATCAAAGGTCACTGTGACCAAACCGAATCCTTTTTAGCTTTTCGAACGCATTCTCCAGAGAATCCTTTTAAAATGAACCCAAATTATTCACTTAGCCTCATGGATTAATTTGAATAGTTATAATATTAATTATAACTATTCTTTTCTCTGTCTTCATCCTCAGTGTCTGCCACTCTGAGCGTCTCTTCTGGGCCTGGGTGGACGGCGTCATCGTTCATGACTCTCAGACCCGCGTGGATCCTGAGAAACTGTCCAAAAACAATGTCTTGTCCTTCATCCACCAGAACTACCATCCCTGAGGCCGTCACCGAGCCCAGAGCTTCACCAGTGACAAGCTGAACCCAGAATGCACTAAATGATGGAGGACGTAGAGCCTTATGTTAGAATGCAGTTTTGCAATTATCAAAAATACCCAGCAGCCGATTGAAAATGTGTTTTTGAATTCCCTGTTTTTATTCTTCTGTTAATGATCTGCTATCTGACCGTTTTCCCGTCCTCTCGTTCCATCGTGTTGCTGAGAGAAATAATGAGCAGGTTGGAAGTGGAGTTCTGGAGCTGAAAGTGATGAAGTGTTTGCTGCTATTTCTAGCGGTGGTCTTCTGCCTCCTCCACTGCCCTTGGCTCTATGAACTCTAAAGACTCATCACATAGGACGAGAAGAAGACACAAAGCTGCCGCCATCGTCTCTGCATTGAAATGCATGTCCCTGTAGATGGGTTTTCTTTTTTTTTGGTTCTTAGTAAATGCTCGTGTGTGTCTGCACACATCAGATTAACAATGATACATAGGGTTACAGATGTTAAAACTATGCATCCATATGTCTCACTTGCCTTGCTCAACAACACAACTGCTCCTCTGTCCGTCTCTGTGGAGATGAACATCTTTTTTCTAAGTCTTACACACAAATAGGCTCCTCGTTGCTCCTGCCAAATCTCCAGCTGAAGCCTCAACACAACAAACACATTCATCGTGTTCACAATCATCAGCTACAGATGTAGCAGCTGTTCTATCTTTCAAACGTGATCTGTAATCGTGTGCGTGTGTGTGTGTGCGTGCGTGTGTGTGTGTAAAAAAACCTGGAAAGTGTCTTCGCTTTTAGGTTTCTCCTCTGGCTCTTTGTTGTGATTTTGCCTGGACTGTGTCGTTTCTTAAATCCTGCAAATTTTGTTCTCTTGTAAAATTAGCTACCGACCATTTGATGTAAATAATAGTATAGTAAATAAATGGGAGAAGCTCATCCCAGAACAGACTCTACTTCCTGGTGAAAGGTATTTATTCATGAAGGAGCCCAAGTAAAAACTAGAGGGTTGCTCGGTAGAGCACATACCTGATGTATGTCATATCGGTTTTTTTCCTTTTTATAAAAGTATATTATAATAAAAACAACTTTAAAAATTATTATGATATATTATGAATTTAATGTATAAGATCTTTAGAGAGTTTTTGGTGGGTTGGACCCTGTTCTACGGAAGCCTATTGTATTCATTTGAATTATCAATTTTTTCAAGTGAATGCAATAGGCTTCCGTACTGTACCAATAGAACAAATAATAAATATTGTTGTTGTTATACAATGATTAGCAGGTTAAATAACAGAGAAAGCAAATAACTTAAAAATACAAAATACACATAATCCCACATTAAACGCTGTTACGTGAGAGACGATGAAGTCAAACTCACTAAAACTAAAGTTTCCACGTGATCACAACCTAATTTATTTCTTATTCTGTCATCGCCATCCACCACGAGAGCTTTTATTTTGAAATCCAGGCTCCAGCCAATCAGAGCTGAGCTCCGAGTAACCGGAAGCAGTGTTATGAAAACATCAGCCCCGCGCCTCCCTCAGATCTGATCGGTCGCGTGGATTTCCAGGTATTTCCAGTTTCTGTGTTTAACCTGAGATTTCAAAATCCTTCCGCAGCTCGTGTGTGTGGAAACAAACGTGTTGCGCTGTTGGATGAAGAGTCACATGTTCGGATGTGAACTGTTTAATTCAACACGAGTTATTTCCCGAGATGAGCTGTTGAATAACTGGTGTCACGTGACTCGCTGCTGCAGGTGAGTGTTCACACTAACGTGATCTGTGAAGTTTGAAGATGCTGAAAGCTCTGGGACAAGCTCTGTTCTCCACCGGACTACAAAACCCCAAATTCACTGCGGCGGAGGAAAACAAGGTAAATGAGCTGAAAACAAACAAGCTGCACTGAACCTTTGACCCCAAACACGAGTTCAGATCGAACATCTCAAAAGTTTCCTGGTTTCACTTTGTCCAAGTTAAACTATATTATTAAAATATAGTATTATATATATATTACATTATATTATTTTTCTGTTTAACAAAAGCCCCAAAGTATCAGTATAATGGTTTTGCATCGTAAACTGAGGAGTTTAATCATTGATTGACTTCAAGTGTTTGTCGTTCTCTGCTCATAAAGAAGAGTAAAAAACCACAACCTCTTCACTCAGGAGCAAAAGTCATGAAGTCTGATAAACAAAGAAATAAGAATGGGACATTTGTCGTAATAATTATCAACTGATCTAAAAAAGTTTATCTTCATATAAACTCTGGCTGTAACGCCCAGCCCTGTAAATACTGTGATAACACAGGCGTCACCAGTTTGTCCAGAAATGAAGGTTATGTATATTAAGTATGTATATTATTAATAAGAAAGGATTTTAGAAATACTTTATACTTACTGGAATAATGTCTAAGTAACTTGTGCATCACAAGCTGTTGTAAGAGAGAGTGAAAACAGTGAGAAAGTAACGATCACTGTTGTTTTCATGCGATGACTGTGTGAAAGTAAGTGATCGACATGTGACCTTTTCTAAATACTGCTGACTCACTGTTTCTGGTCTCATCGATCACATTCGAACTGCAACACAGTTCAAAATAAATACATGAATAAATAAATCTGCAGCGTCAGTGCAGCTAATAATCCTGGTGTGTGTGTGTGTGTGTGTTTTGCAGGCACAAGACTATGAGATCCGCACCTACCACGCCACCAAGTGGGTGAGCACGTCTCTGAGCGGGATGCAGCTGGACGCAGCCATGAAAGATGGCTTCCGCAGACTCTTCAGCTACATCCAGGGCAATAACCACAACAGTGAGTCCCGACTGTCTTATCTCTGAAATGTCACCTGAAGAAGAAGAATATTAAAGAAGACATAGATACTAACAACTGTTGTATTCTTTGTTCTGTTGAGACGTTGGTTGAGGAGTTTGTGATTGAGCCTGGTGATATTACCAACATCAGGGTGGAAAACTTTCAGATACTGATATATATATATATATATATATATATATATATATATATATATATATATATATATATATATATATACACATGTATATATGGAGAATCTTGTTTCAGGAGAGAGAGGTGATGAATAAATGCAGGAGAAAGTTCTCTTTAGTTCCTGGTCAGCACTTTGTTACAGAGCCACTGCCTTTGTTTCTTACTCAGCACTTTACACCAGTGTTATTTATGAGGACATGTATTGTTTGTGTAGTTGACTGGTGAGTCTGCAGTTTACAGAGTCAGATCTAAAACCCTCTACATCTGTGCTCATATGGACACCGTCACTGATCACACATATCTATTTTTATATTTAAGTCACCAGTGAGTGTCTATGCGTTTGTAACTTCAGAGGTCAAAGTGGAGATGACGGCCCCTGTGACGTGCCGCGTCGACCCAGGAGCCGGCCCTGCCTGCGAGTCTCAGTTCACCGTGTCCTTCTACGTCCCGGAGGAGCATCAGGAAAACCCACCGGAGCCGAGCGACCCGCAGGTGTTTGTGGAGCACAGGGAGGAGTTCACTGCTTATGTCAGGTAACGTATAAACCTAATCCTCAAGAGTTTCTAGACCAAATCTTCCAGCTGATTATCGATCGATAAGATAACTCTACTCGTCCGTCTGCTGCAGGACGTACGGTGGCTTCTCCAATGAGAACATGAAGCGAGAAGAGCTCCTGAAACTTATTGAGAGCCTGCAGAGGGACGGCGTCCCGTTCGTGGACAAGCCGTACTACACAGTCGGGTACGACGCCCCCTTCAAACTGACCAACCGCAGGAACGAGGTCTGGGTCCTGAAGAAAGAAGAGCAGCACTAGAAAGATTCAAAGGTCACGCAGCATCAAACCCACGGCAGAAGATTTTTATATGATCATTCCACAACACTTGATAGATTTAACACAGCTCTTATTAATGAAGTATGATGAATTAACATTTAAAGGTCATTTTAAAAAGTACTTTTTTCTTTTTCTATAAGTTGCATCAGTTTACGTTTGAATACTTTGACTAAAAAGTTACTGAATCAGACTCACTGTCACCATCGTTAAACATCAGGAGGAGCAAGTGGCCGCAGTGGGGCATATATCTCCAGCAGAGGGAGCCAAGTAGTCAGAAGACATTTCTCTCCTCTGGTGTATTTGTTTACACACATTTATTTCTTAAAGCTACAAAAAACACTTACATTTAAATGATGTGAATGTAACAAGCCTAAGTTCTGTTGTAAAACAGTAATCACTCACTATATGTACAAGGAAACACATTATTAATGCATGGAAGTGTTTCTTCTGTCTGTTCAGGCCACAGAGAACACGTCCTGACACCATGTCAGCACAAGAGATGAGGAGTTTGAGGGTAAACAGGCTTTTATTGTCTGAGTTTGACAAATCAATTCAGCAGAGCCAGAAAATACAAAAGAACACATTTTGCCTGAAAGCCCACTTGACTCAGAGACAGTGAAGTTCAGCTGATTTGTGTGTGTGAGTAAAGAGACTGCTGGAGTCTGTCAGCCTGACGACACGATGGTGAATCGATCTGATCCAACGCGTCACTGACAGCTCATCTATCATTTCACAGTAAGGACTGTATTAATACAGCACATACACTATTTGCTTCTATTTTTGTAACACACACAGTCAGGGCCAATGTGAGAGTCAGGATCTTGCCCGTAGACTGGAGGGGATCGAACCACCGACCCTCTACCTCCTATTCCTATCAAACATCATTGTGGTGAATTTAGTAATCACGCCAGCATGATCAATTTACTTGAATATAAATTAATTGTCTGGTCACGTGCTGGAAAAAAAGATGCCAAACATTTGCAAGAAAGACATTTTTTTAATGTGGTCGATAAAAGCAAACTCAAGAGTCGCCAAGGTACCTTAAGTTCTTACATCTGATTTCCCAACATTCCTGTGCCTTGTGTGAACCATACTGACAAAGAGTTCCAGTTACAAGCTCAAACTCTGCCTTAAACACGACTTGACCTTTTTTATACATTACATTATATGAATATTTACATTTTTACCTCCTGACAGACTCAGAATCATGTTTTTGATCTTAAATAAGGGACATAATGGACGTTAATGGAAAACCAATGTATGAATCATGGGAAATATTACTTTTGAATCATGTTCACTTTAGTATAATCAATAATAAATCTAACGCTTCATTAAATGATTATCTATCATCTCCGTCTCTTATGTCTTCGTCGTCCCTTCGTCTTGGCGATGTGATCGTGTCTTGTGGAGAGCAGGTTGTTTATCTGCAGTGGACACAGATGTGACCGTCCTCCACACTCCGCTGGTTGTGACCTTTTCATCAGTCGTATGAAATCCTCGCCACAGTTCACTTCACCCTCCATCCTCTTTCACCTTCTCCTCGTCGCCAGGTCCACGTCTGCTGAGTCACTCGTTTTATTTGTGGCAGAATTGTTCCCAATATCATGTTCAGGCTCTCAGCAGAAGTGATATCTTGTTTTAATCCTCTACACACACACACACACACACACTCTCCACTTGCGTCTGTTGTTCATCGGCCAGATTGATCTCAGCAGCTCTGCTCTGTGAGGTGAGGTGAAGCTGCTGCAGAGAGGAAACATATAAACTGAGTTTTACTCCAAACATCACAGTCAGTGTGTTTTCATTATATTTACCTTCTTCAGCCTGTTGGAGACATTCAGGAGGACAGGCTGTAAAAATACTGCTGTGACAACACACGTTTTCTGGTGACGGAGAGTAACTGTAAACTTACTGCACAGTTACCAGCTGTTGCTTTCAGAGACCTGCAGGTAATAAATCAAATTATTAGATTGCTCCCAATAAATGGACAAATGGAACATGTGACAAAAATAGATGTGAATTAGGCAAAATTCTGACATTTAAGATCGTGGAGACATTGGCCACCTCTCTGCAACGAATTCAGTTTGAAGAAATTCCCTTGAGACCGAACTTCCATTACATGTTCAAGAGGCCAAACACATGATGTGTGAGGCCACAACAACCTTGACCTGTGGAACAGATTATCACCAAATCTGGTGGAAGGATGTGGTCTGGGTCAGAAAGGAAGCCGTTAAATTGTGGTCCGGAGCCGAATCAGGGGCTGGATCCAGGAATTTATTTCCCTTTACTTAACATAGTGAGACGTTTTATTTCATTGATTCCTCAGAGAAATAATTAATGGATCCTGATGAAAGAAATCAGGCATTTAGGGAACTCAGATGCAGCTTGACTGAATGTAAGGGGACTGTTGGGCCTTGTTGGAGGTATGTGCTCTACTGAATGTCAGTTTGGTTTAAAATGGTTAAACTGAGATTTGTCACGTCTTTGTCATACATCTGTGTCTCGTTAGGAAACTGTACATGTGGTCTGGATTATTAGAGGAGAGGGTGGAAGCACAGAAGTGTCAATAGTGTGATTATAGCTGGGAGGAGTTGGTATTGATTTCTGTCCTGCAGCCAGATGGACACCGTGTTCGTGCCGCTGACTCTGCTCAATCGGAAGCGGAGAGACTTCATAGAAAATACTAAAAAGGCTGTCGCTGTGTCTTTGCTGCCGGTAACGAACGCTCTCCGTGCCGAGGCTTTGAAACGGCAGCGGGGACCTACTGGGAATGTCGATAGGACACAAGACACAAGAGATGAACTGCGAGTCAGACACTGTTCGACTGTGCTACAGTGGAGAGATCTATTATGGGCCCAGCCTGTGATTCAGTGTGTGTGCTAATGGGATGTCCAGAAGGAGACATAACTGATGACCCCGCGGGGGAGGGGGGTAAATGATGGCCTCTGGAGTTTTCCACATGATGGACGAGTGCAGGTGCCATGGCGATAACCGATGAGGCTGTGATTTGGGGTGTCGGGTCTGGCAGATGCCTGTGAATCAACCAGAGGGAGAGAAATGACACAGACACCAGCTCTTTAAATATCACGTTGCTTTTTTGTCTTTTTATTATTCTTATTACACAGACATACAGAAGAGCGTCAGCAGCCCGCCCCAGCTTCACTACGTCACAGCCTCGTCTTCCTCTTTCCACAAGCCCCGTGCGATTGAGACGTGTCCTGACATGAGATGAGTCCGCACCCCCAAGTGCTCCATCATGGGAACAGGCGGGGAGCTCGTGGGGGGGGGGGGACACACACTTTGGTCACAGGTGATTAAACCACAGGGTGCTGTGGCTGTTAGGAGGTTATGAAGTCTCACGCCTGTCACCTCGGTTTATGTCTCCACAGAGAACACATTTACTCAGCTGTGAGCACCAGTGTGGGGTTTGCATTTTTCTAAAAGCACCCTTTAGAAGAACTAAAGGGTCTGGTGGGATCAGCGGAGTAAACGTGTCCCTGCTTCCCCGCGGCCTCTCAACACGCCGCTTGTCGACCGGTTTACTGTACTGCAACCCTGCTATGTGAAAATAAATAATCTACAAATAGGAAACCACTCCCGTCCAACAAACACAGGGCTCTGAAAATGAAAACATCTTTGAAAATAAGTGAAAATGTTACGTAGAATTCCTCTCTATGTATTTACATACAGGAACATGTGAAACTGCAAAGGGGATAGACTGAGCAGAAAAGCATTTTAGAAATCATTTAAGCTCTAAAAGGTTTCTAGCAAGTCTCAGCAAACAGTGGCAGGGCTGTGTGTGTGTGTGTCTGTGTGTGTGATGAGCCAACACACTCTCTGATTGTGTTCACGTCCAGATTAACGGCTTCAGCTCTTTGGTTACCAACGCAATCAGAGACCCGCACCAGCTTTTCATTTCATGTCCTCTCTAGCTTTTTACATTTATAGATTGATTCTTAACTCGAACACAAGTCTTGACATCACTTGTTTTTATTAAAACAATCTTTTAAAACATACTTTTGAAGTCACAAACAAAGAGAAGACCTATGCACAGTGCAAAATCTACAAACTAAAAGTTAATCGATAGAGGTTTTATGAGCTTTTTATAGAGTAAATCTGCTGTTTTTGGTTGAGCCTTTGTCCTCCACTTCCTCCCTCTCATTAGGGGGCAGCAGTGAGCCCTCTGCTCTTTCTCTGGATCTTTTTTTGTAAATACACTCCAGCTCTGCAAACGAAACCACTGAACCGTGAGAGCACAAAGTAAAAATCCTGCTGCTAACTGTGACCGAAGTTTAACCGTGGAGCCGTCTGTTGTACCACACGTTCTCGTGCTGACGCCGACATCCGCCGGCCGTGGCGCTCTCCGACACTTTCTAGAGCCAATGGGAGAGAAGCAGAAGCTGAGAAAATCTACGCGGCGAGCTCCCAGCACACCTTTTACATTCCACTCTTTCCAACTGCCTAGCTATGTAGCACCACAGCAGCAAAGTTACGCAAACAACTTGTGACTTTTCGGTTCCTTCCATTCACCTTAGTTTGCCACCTGAACCTCGTCCTTTAAAGAAACTAACGGCTTGTTGTGTTATGGACAGGGTAAAGTAAAAATTTAAAACAGCAGAACAGAGAGAAAACAAATCAAGAACACCAGGCGTAAAAGAAACACTATTCTTTTAACACAAAGGGTGAGTAACCAAACGAAGGAGAGAATCATGGGAGAATTGAAAAGCTGCAGCACGACCACTTCTCCACTTCAGACTAAGTTCAGCTCCGTCAGATGGGGCGACCTCGGACCTCCTACACCAGGACCCGACATGTCCACTCTGTCAGAGGCTGCGTCGAGGAGGTGGGGCTCAGGAGGGTGTGTCTAGAGGGCCTCCTACTGGCTCACGCCCCCTACCTGGTTACAATGGGTTCAGTTCCCTGAATCGACGGGAGGTCCTTGCTCTTTAACTACTGCTCTCATCAGATAAAGTGCCGTTGGAGCCTTTGAGCACAGGGAGAGTCTGGACTGCAGGTACAGACAGAGTTCCTGCCGTGTCTCCGTACTCGCTCTCAGCCAACTCCCCCTCACGCTCGCAGATAACTGTCATTGGGCTGCTGAGGATTCGGCAGCGAGCGTTGTACTTGCTGCTGGCAGCAGAGGGTGGTGTGCGAGAGCGCCCGTACTTAAACCCGCTCATTGGAAAGGCCGATGACGTTGGCGAGGACAGAGCCAGGGCCTCGTAGCGGTTCCACTCGTCCGCTGCCCGTTTACTGCGGCCGGGGGAGGCGCAGGGGCTGAGTGGTGTCGTCGGGGAGGAGGGCGAAGCTGCAGGGGGGTCTAACGCTGACTCAGACCGCGTTCGCTGTGAGCGAGGGTCAGTGGAGCGGAGCATCTCAGTAGCAGACATCCTGAAGCTGGTCTCAGAGCGGCTGCCCTTCTTGAGGAGAAGGGCCTTGAAAGTGTCGCTGCTGGTAGCTGACTTCCGGAGGTTGCGTTGGATAGAGCCCGTCTGCCGGGACAAAGAGGACACGCTCCCCGGAGACGTGGCTGTAGGGGTGGCGGGTGGAGACTGCTGGTGGGGACCAGCTTGGGACTTGTCCTCCTCAGACTCCTTGCGACCCAGAACCTTGCGCTTCGACCTAGAGAAGGAGGTGGACAGATTAATAAAGTGCTTGTAGAAATTCTGCAGAGTTAATGAGTGGAAAAAGAGGTTAATTCTTTTTTAAAGAGTAAAATTACTGAGGGGCAGCTGAATGTTTAGTCAGAACAAAATGCAAGAGTTGGGGCCTGTTTTGTCAGGATATGGGCACATCAAAGGCAATTATTCAAATTACAACAAGGCTGCAGCATAACAGATTTCATACATGTGAGCAGAAAGGCTGGTCCTGCCTTCGGACTGCGTCTGTGTTGTTGGAGTTTAAAAAAAAAAAACTGCACTTAAAATACTCGTCCCACACGCCTCAAATCTTTGTCCCAAATTTGCCATATGTCAGCTCTGCCCCCAGCGATCACACGTAACAGCAGAAATCCCCCAAAAAGTCAAACGTTAAGGAGTGAGTGGCGTGGATGCTCAGAAAAGAAAAGGAGGGCAACAAGAAGAAACTACACATTTCTCTTATCCAATGAGTTTTTAAGCAAGAGAAGCTGCAAACGCTGCAACTAAAAGCTCAGAGGCGGCACAATGAAATTAATCAAAAACACAAACTGGGAGAAGTGCCCAAAGCAGCTTTAATCACGCTACGACAATTCAGCCTCCTCGCAGCATGGGGTATCAGAGTATTTCACTGCACCACTCAGCCTACACTGTCTATATAAGTCCTGCACCACAGCAGAGCAATAAAGCTGCAACTGGCAGAATATGGGGGGATTAGGGGTAGCAGGGCAACATTTTTTTTAATCTGTGGTACAGGGGGTTGCCCTGTGGGATTACTGCATATAATCCAATGGTAGCATGGCAGAAACAAGGCTTGCTAATTAAAGGGAAGGGGCTACTTGCCACTTCGCACCTCTATAGACAGGATGCACCCACCCACTGCACGTCCCCTCTGCACAGGGGAGGAGAGGGGAGACAGAAATGATAGAAAATACAGATTGTATGATACATGAGAGATTTGATGCAGAACGTAAAAAGAGGAGTGAAGGGCGCACTGAGACAAAATCCTTAATCCTCAGATTAGATCTATAGGAATAAGTTCTTCCACAGAGGACAAATAACCTGTAGAAGGTCAAACGAGAGCGAGAGCTGAAGGATACAAATGATTTGTGTGAGTTCAAGTCTGCCTCCTGGTTGAGGCTGCAAAATGTGTTTCCGTGCCCTAAATTCAACCTCCATCTCGCGTTGTCCCCTGTGAGCGTCCTCGCCACATTAGCCCACCAGTATTACGTAAGACACACGAGCGTCTCATACACCTGAATTCAGTCGACCAAGGCTCCACACTGAAGTCACACAAAGACTCGCAAAATGCACACGAACAAACAGAAGGCAGTGATACTAATCTCTGTTCCTGAGGTAAACTATATACTGCAGTATGAGACGCCGCTCCGAGCACTCGATCGAACTATCGGGCTGTACAATACATTTGGTTTCTATCTCCCTATCGACGTGTAGTATTCTCTGCTGCAGCCGTGTGAACGCATTTCATTCAAGGTTTTCATCATTTTCTCTTTTCCCACAGAGAGGAGGATTGAGAGAGGGGAGAAATGTGGAAGTGAAATGATGGTAAATTAAAAAGGGAGGGGGAGAAGGGGGAGAGAGACCACGTCAGAGAGGGGAAGGATTAGAGGAAAAAGGATCAATTAGATAGCATCTGTAGGGAAGGTCGGCGGGATCTAAAGAGCAGCATATCAATGTTTTTGAATAAAAGAAAATGCATCCATTATCTATATCACTTATCCATTTGAGGGTCATGGTGTTGCTGTATTCTCCAATTACCAAATCCCAATGTGCACTGTGAGAGGACGCCAGAGTACCCGGACATGGAGAGAACATGCAAACTCCAGGCAGAAAGATCCTGACCGAACTGGGATTCAAACCTAGAACCTTTTTACTGTGAGACGACAGTGCTAATGCTACTTGATCATCATTATCTCAAAATGTCAGAAAGAAATGTATCCAACTTCATATAACTCAAATGGATTTTCTTCAGGTGCCCTGATTCTGGCAAAATAACAGCTTAGGTCATTTTCTCTTTTTTTTCCTCTACATCATCAACAACATCACAAGAATCCATCACTTTCCTCAGAAATATGTTAAAATGATTCTTAATATGTTCTACACATGCAAGGTTTGATGAAGGAAGAACACAGCAAAGCATGTGGTAAACAAACAACTTGACAGTGAGGTTTACACATGTGCACTTACACAATCTCCACATCCAATAACACAATAAATCACAATTGCACACATGACATGGGCGCCATAAATACACACCACAATCTGGTGCCTGCAGAAAATAAAATCCTGTGATGCTCAGGCGAACTCCCGACTACTGCTGCTGCCGCCGCACGTGACCGTGAAACACAAACTGGCGGTCTGCATGAGAAATTTATGCGCATGTTCGCTTTGAAGCAAAGGGGCACGTATGCAATGTATGTCAAGATACCGCAGAGCAGAAAAACAGAGAGAGAAAGAGAGAAAAAAAGACACAAGATGGTCTCTCCTGTGGCCTCTAACCTAGATTAGGACCACAGGGTGTTGAGCAGATAAATATTGGATGAAGCAACAGCGTTCTCCTGCCGAGAATGAGCAACAATGATGTGACTTCACGAACACAGATGTCTCGATAAACGTTTGACTACTGGCTCGTATTGTGACCTAAATTGTTGCCTCTACGTGGCTTCAGAGAAAGACTCACTTCTCCTGGGCTGAAAGACCCCAGAGAGCAGCGATTTGACAGATGTGTGCACTCGCAGATGGGACAGTGCTGGGTAAAGTTATGACTGAGAGGTGGAGGACAAGAAGAGGAGGAGCAGGAGGTGAGGAGGGGAATTGAGATGGAAGAAGAGAAATCATGGGTTGAGGGGTGAGAGGGGGGTGATACATGGTGGTTTATGGGGAGGGGGAGATGAGAAGATGAAGGGGGATAGAGAGAAACAAACAAATAAAGAAAATGGAATGAAAGAGCACTAGAGGGAAAATAAACTGGCTATGTGGAATAAATAATGTATCAGGAGTTGTAGAGGGTGAGGAGCAGAGAAGTGGGAGTTAGTGATGAAGTGACAGGAGGTGTAAAAAAAGAGAGAGAAGTGCATCGTGGTACCTGTGAATGGCAGCAAAGAGGTCCTCTGTGGTTCTGGGCCGGTTGGGAGTGGGGGTCACCATGTTCTCCTTAGACGCCCCGTTGGTTGACGGGGCTGGAGACGATTCAGCCGTGCTGGATTCGAACACCTCACCTGACACAGAGAAACATACAAGTTACACACACACACACACACACCCACACACTTCAGGTCGCACATGCTCATGAATCCGCCGTCCCGTTGCATTAACCTGGCAGGGTAAGAGATCTGAAGTGCCACCGGGGAGGTGCTGGACTGTCCCCTTACATTCTCGTCCTGTCTCTAGATTTCCTCTTTCCTTTCTTCT